TAATTATTGTTGTTGTGCTGTGCTCGCTAATAACCTTATTTATACCCTGAAATTATAATCATCCAAAATAAGATTAAAACAAGATGTGAGCTGCCTGAGCCGTTTGCCTTGCAGATGGTCACCCTCGGAGTTCTCTGAAATTGCCAGGGTTAATTGAAGCTTCAGTTTTCATTGCAGTATACTTGATGCTTAAGTGTTTCTTACCTGTCGGCTCACACTATCCAAAACAGTAACAATAGCACTTTAATTTGCTCTCATTAATGCTAGCCTCCCAGGTAATGTTTAGTGTAGCTCTATCTAGATGATGTTTGCTTCTCTGAGTGGAACCTTTGTACCGGCTTCCCAGCTGAGAAGAAAAGCTAAACAGTTACAAAGGTAAAAAGCATGATGTCTCATCGATTAATTTATTTAGAGGATGCTCAGAACCCAAGGAAACATTGAGGGGAGTTAACTTTTAAACGGTTGGTAGGCAGTTAGTCTATGATTAACAGCAGACTCTTTCCCTGGGGTTTTAGCGAGCTGAGACAACTGGGATTCATTCTTGGGGAGCCTTACAAATAGTTTTTGCTTAGAGCCAGCTAAATGCTCCAAGGATAGTCATTGTAGATGCACACAAACAGCAGCACTGTTTGCTCTAGTTCTTTGATGTTCCTCTAGTAGTATTGAGATGTGAGAAAGCAATCAGGATCACTGTAAAACAGCAAAGGAAATTCCCCAATACGCCTAGGTGACTGTAAGAGTAGAAGACCAGTAAGAAGAGCTAGGTGTTAAAATGTTACAGTATTTAGGTGATGCAAGAGCCTTATGCTTGTACCTTGAGATTTGAGTATTGGAAAGAAAATGATTGTGCACTCCTAAATCTGGGGACTGGTGCCTCCCAATGGCATTGCTCGTGATTTGATTAAATCCCAAGAGAAGAAACAGTTGAGACAGAGCCAGAAGGAGAGAAGGAATTCTGGGCCTTCTCAAATTAAAAAAAAAAAAAAAAAATTCTAACAAGTTAGCAACTCCAGTAAAGACTAGAAAATCAGTACTGTGGCCTTTCTCGTAGAGGTAGCATTCAAAAATAGAATGTAAAGGGGTGGATTGTATAGTATATGAATTCTGTATACCTCAGCAAAGCTGTTAAAGGTTGGGGCGGGGGGGGACCCAAACCCATGAGCATATTAGACTACTTGGGTTCAAATTGTAGACTACAAGCCCTCAGTTATTAGTTGGGTTTTCCCTCTGTGATATGGTTATTAAAGTAGTACTCCTTCATAGAGAACTCAGTGTAAAGCAGAATAATGCGTATTACTGTCATTGTCTGCTGTCAAGTCAATTCCAACTCAAGACAGTTCTATAGGACAGAGTAGAACGGTTTTACAGGGGTTGGCAGGCTATAATCTTTATGGGAACAAATCACCAGGTTTTTCATATAGTGATGGCAGCGTCCTTCATACTTCCCTCTTACAGAGCCACTGGTGAGTTTGAGCTGCTGACCTTCAGTGAGCAGCTGAGCCCCACTTAGCCAATGTGCTACCAGAGCTCCTGAATAATACTTGTAAACTACTTAGAACATTGTACTTAACTTTGTTTTTTAAATTGAGACTTACATGAAAGAGAAACTGGAATGGCTCCTTTATTACCCCATTCCCCTGTTTTTGCAGAACATAGTGTTTCATTTACCGTAAATCCTTTTTATAATACACAAAACTATTG